ATCTGTTATCATTTGGATTAATTGTAGAAAGGAATTTTCTCAATCTCTTCCGTATTCCATGAATCATGGGCCATGATTTCAGAAAAATTGTACGGTTTAGTGAATAAACTACATCAAAAAAGCGAATAAACATGGAAATTCTATCGGATTGTGTTTTTGTTCAATATTTCTTATGTCTTCTTGGTAAGTTTTACAGTGAAACACCCTATATTTCCTTTTGAATTTGGCAAGGAAATTCTATGGTCATCAATGAATCGTGGTGAGCATTCTAAATCATAATTTGGCGAACAACAGCTATTTGTTGGAAATTTCTCGATGAACGAATTGTATTGTAATTTGGAGCATTTGTTGAAGTGTAGCATAATGAGTTGTCTTTGGATAATTGGCACATCTTTTTTTTAACTGAATTGGAATTTAAGGGTTTTTCTGTCGTTAGAAAATGTCACTTCAATTTTGTTCAAAGTTTGAAATGAAAGTGAAAATTCAAATCTGAAACCAACTTCAAGCCTTTTGATATCAAACCCCAAATGTCAACGAATCGTCAATTCTGTTGCGCAGTTTCATTCTCAAAACGTCACTGTTTGCTTAGCACACAATCATCTGAGGGTGAGTACACTATTTTTCGCTTTGACTGAAATTTTTGGCGAATTTCTTCCGAAAATAAATCGAAACGCTTCTTCAAAATCAAACAGAAAGTAATAGCAAACAGAGAATAGCATTCATTTTTCATATTAAACCAATTTTGCATCAATCCAGTACTGAATATTTCTTTGTCATGCCATTCATTCGATGCAAATTCATAACAAAATGAACAATGTAGTCAACAAATTCTAAAGGAGGATTTTTGGCAATAACATTGAGAGAGAATTGAATGTGTTGTTTGAAGATATCTAAAAATGTGGGGAAATACCGTCAGTACATCACCATAGTCGACGTGAGATGTCGATTGAATAGAATAGCAATTGTGACATTTTTATGGCGATGCAAAGCCAATGATTTTCATGTTCCTTTGTGCTGAGTCACACACATTGATTCGACCTTTAACATAACCATAAATTAAGCTGAAAGCGAGTGTTCAAGTTGCCAAACGTCACTGTGCCAACTTGTCTAGCAGTATCGACAAATAGGCTTACTTCGTATTACACTTCACTACTACATATTTAGTAATGTTTCTTTTTGACAATACTGTCAATGACTCCAAACTTGCAAATGCATTGTCCTAACAAAACATCATATTTTATTATCTAGTTGGGTCGGTTATTTCCTTCACACCCATAAAGACAGAGTCATAAAACAATTTGCTGTCAAACTGTAATCGAATAAGCAAAACACATCTTATATCCTTCACACAAAGAAACAATGTGTAGTTAGTTAGGTAAAAATCATTTGGTAGAATTTGCATGTTCAGTTCTACCGTCATGAATATTATTAAGACAGTTCCTATTTAACGCTCGAACCGAAAGGACGTTCCAACGCAGCTCCCATAGAGTGAACAATTCCGAACAAATTTAATACTCGTACAGCTTAAATCTTTTTTCTCTTAAACATATAACATTTGACTAAAAAGTAACAAAAAGCGTTCTCGTACGGTTAGCACTTGCGTTATACTTGTTGATAGTGAGCTGTTTCAAGCACAAAAGTCTTCCCACAATTCAGATTCCATTGGATTTTCACAATACAATCGATCATCCCGAAAATTGTCAGGTCAATTGTTTTAACAAACACTTGTTTTTGTTGTTGCAGTCGATCTATTTACCAATTCACACTCATACTCTATTAGCTTCGTACACAATTTGAGAGTCCAACTATCACTCTGTAATTAATTGCGTTTCTTCTACATTTGCTGCTTTCTGACCATAATGAAAAGTTCATTATTCCAACTAAAGACTCAATTGTTTTCTTTTCGCCAACAGATTTCGAAAGAAATAGGCTAGAAAGGTCTATTCATCCAAGTTCAAGGTTAACTGAAAGCAAAAGACGCTGAACGTGTGACAAAATATCACTGCTGAAACAACACAGACAAGACATTTAACCAAGGCGTTGGCATTGAAGGTACGTATTTGATTGATAACAAGCAGAAATTCTCTTTAGCGATTGTGTATTTGAATTTTTCCATTACAAATGTTGCTTTTCTCGTAGGTTCCAGAAATCTCAAGTTCAAGATTGACGAGCCAGACGATCGTATCATGTTGTGGGTAAAGGAGTCAAATAAGAAGAACGCATTATATGTGGATGTATTTGCGTTAAAATCTCGTAGTGCCTTGAATATGGTATTTTCCGAGGCACGACTGGGCGTGGAGATGGCAAATACATCGTTTGAGAAGAGTGATGAAATATCGCTTGAACGACGAACGGAAGGAAACAAATGGTTTGGAAGAAAAGATTGGCGCTCAGCGATTGGGTTGTACAACGATAGCCTATGTTATGCTGAACAAGGATCGGAGAACTTTGGTTTGGCGTATGCAAATCGGTCGGCATGTTTTCTGAAGATGAAACGATATGCAGAATGTCTCGTTGATATCGAGCTAGCTCGAAAAGCCGAATATCCATCTCATTTGATGCCAAAACTGAAGAAACGTGAAGCCGATTGCTTAAAACTTATCGAAGAAGGTGCACAAGAGCTTGATGATCGGTTAAAGTTGAGTTTCGAGCCAGACACGAAGTTTCCATGCTTGGCAAACGTATTGCAAATCGAACAAAACGCCAAAGGAGGTCCAATCATGGTTGCCAAAGAGGATATTGACGTTGGTAAGACAATTGTGGTGGAAAAATCGTTCAACGCATCATTGTACACGAAGTTCGGATGGAGGTGCAATATTTGCTTGAAGGAAAACGCCGCCAATTTAGTTCCATGCACCAAATGCAATGTGGTTCTGTTCCGAAAAATGCCAATCCAGCCCACTTCACGGCTATGACTGCGGCCGAAGGTTCTGTAAAAAGACTCAAACGAATGGTGTGATCATGGCCGAGGTACGAACTCTATGCAAAGCTATCAACATATTTCCAGACATTGATGAGCTGATGACATTCGTCGAGCAAGCCGTTCGAAGCGATCCCAACGAAATTCCAGACACATTTTCAAATGAAAAATCCAAATATCGCGCATTTCTCAAACTGCCATACTATTCGGCCTCATCAAATACAGCCGACTTTTGGTTTCTCACGTTCAGCGCTTATAGGATGCTAATGGATATTCCGGAAATCAGGGAAAAATTCAGCTCGAAGAAGCACAACCGTTTCCTCATGCATCTCGTTATGCATCATGCTCGGGCTGCGAGCAGAAATACGATTCGCATCAGGCACTTGACGCTGGAACCAGTTCCAGATCCAACAGAACGGCGCGATGTGTGCATTCACACCGGGCTTATAAAGCGATACTTTTCGCATTCGTGTGCGCCAAATGTAACGCACGTTGATCGAGATGGCCATTCGGTGTTTATTACGGTTCGTCCGCTGAAAAAGGGTGATCAACTGTTTTCCACGGTCTTCAATTGTATGACGGAGTCTAAAGAAAAACGCCAAAAATTGCTGTGGGAACACAACAATTTTCTATGCGAATGCACATTGTGTACTGGTCCAATGGCAACGTCGCAGCAACGCAAACAAATGTTGGCGGATCCACTCTATCAGAACTATTTGAAGGGCAAGGCAACAGGTGAAGCCGTTCTGCAAAAATACGGCCATGGTCCATTGTGCGAGGAAGTCTTGAATGTGCTCAATCGCTATTGCTCTGATGTACAATTCCGATATGTTGGACCAGTAAATTTACGTGCTTGGTCCGAAATTGTTGCCGACAGTATGGATAATCAGTGAATCGGACGAAACGAAACATTCAAGCACATTCAAGACAATTGACCTAGAGAATTATCTTTCTTTATTTCATAATTTTTTTCCGTTTATTTTTAAATTTCGACAGTTCTTAAATATTTTCCCACATTTCATGTCAATGTCAGGAACAAACAGATATTTCATATAATATTCAAAATAGAGTAAGAATTTATGTAGCAAGGTTGATACGCAACGAATCAATCGATTTGGCCCTTATCTATAAATTCGCAACAATATTTCACAACTAAAGTGTTTTTTTTTTCAACAATTCGTTATGTTAATCTTATTTGCAGTGAATAATTTCATCACAGACAACGATAGTCCTCGAAAAATGACAAACAAATTTTATGTAGGTGCTAAAATAAATTATTTTGGCACCATAGTGTGCGTGGACAATTCCACAGAAAAGTTAATGTTGTATTCTTTGAAAAATCGCCAAAATCCATTGAATGTGGGACATTTTTTTGAAAATGATTTTCAAGAAATATTTACGTCTCCATTTGCAAGGCATTTTAAATAATATTTTTTTCATTAAAATTGAATGAGTTATGGCCTAGGGGGCGATACACGAATTCTATTAGAGTCTAGTTACACTCATTTTTATATATTTTTTGCTTTATGTCCTCTAATTTTTCTAGTTTTGGTGCAAAAGTGCTAATATTGTGCTATTATATCTATTAAAATCGGTTGCAGAGTGTATTACACTGTCAATACACCGCTTATGGAAGACTTAACGGGACTATTTTGTAAACAATAAACAATACGTCCATAAGCGTTAACATTGGCAAACCAAACTCACTAATTTCTTCTATTTTTCCTATTATTATCGTTGAATAATGTTCTAATTTTACTCATTTAAGTTTCGTGTCTCTCCCTTAGGTTATGGCCATTTTTCGAAGAATTACATTTTTTGTGAAATGGTCCACATATAGTTGTTATTGCCCATTTTATATTGGATTTAGGTGCCCTTCCAGAAGATATTAGAATTCGAAGAGGAAAAAAGAGTTTTGCAGAGCAACACTGTTGCACTGTGTTATGAAAATGACGATAGATGACAAAAGATAAGACGAAAATGGTCCATTCCATCCTACATTTGTTGTAAATCTCTACGTAATTCATAAGTTTCAAGAATTTCTTCGGTAAAGCTGTGAAATGTTTGTTGCTCAAAGTATCTCTATTATAAGCTTTGGTTGGATGTCTATGTTTGCATCATTCTAATTACCTGAGATTAACAGATTACAACCGTTCGAGGAAAAAAAAAACGATACATTCATCTGCCGAGTAAATTTAATACTAAATTTCCAGTTTCCAATTATTCAGCGACGTACCGTCCATACAAGCGTTTGGGTCTGAACGCCATCTGGATTTTGTTCCACAGTACGGCGTTGTTCTTCTATTCGATGCAAATTCATAACAAAATGTACAAAGTAGTCTATAATTTTGGAATAAGAATGCGACTTTTAGCAATCAAATTGAAAGGAAGTTAAATATGTTAATTGTCGATATCTAAGAACGTGGAAATAATACTGACAGTGAATTATAATGCGGAATAAAAAATTATTATATTTTACTTGTGGAAGATTGTGTTGTGACTGAATGGATACCCATGATGTTGCGACTAATTGGGCCATTGCCGTATGTATAGTCAGAGAGTGCATGCATATGTGTATCATAAGTACACAGGTGCATGCGCTCTACGGCTATAAGAGTTCTTTAATGAAAATAGAAATGAAATGTCGTAGCACTGTCCCGAACCTTTCGTCCAATACAATGGAATAGATAACGATCAAAGCACAAAAGAGCATCTTAGATCGAAAACAACAAAACCTGTTCATTTTTGACGCCATAGACAATTGGTAGCAAAAATGCATTCAAATTCTGGCATGAAAATGAACATCCAGATCTGAAGCCAACTTCATGTCATTTGACATCAAACCGCAAATGTCAACGAATCGTCATTCTGCTGCGCAGTTTCATTCTCAAAGCGTCACTGCTGAACAACACACAATCATCTCAAGGTGAGTACACTATTTTTTCAATTCATCTTAAATTTTCGGCGAATTTTTTTCCAGAAATAAATCGAAACGCATTTTTAAAGTCACTTGAAAGTAATGGCAAACACAGAACATCGTTCATTTCCCAAATTAAACCAATTTTCCATCCGTTCAGTACTGAATATTCTTCTGGGTCGTGTTATTCTATCGATGTAATTTCATAATAAAATGAAGTGTTGTCAATAAGTTCCGAATGTGGATGCAGCTTTTGGCAATAAAACTGGAAAGGAATTCAATGTGTTGTTTATAGACCTCATTAAAAAATGTGAACAATATTCCACCGTGTATTATGCATCATCGTAGCTGATTAGCTACCATATCAATATGATATGTCGATTGAACAGTATAGAAATCATGAAATTTTTATGGCGATACAAGGCTAATGATTTTTATTTCTCTATGTGCTGAGTCACAAAAATTAATCGACCATTGGCATAACCACAAATTCAGCTGAAAGTGAGCGGACAAACTGTATACACATTGTTACATATGCGCTGTTTCAAGAAGAAAATTCTTCACACGAATCAGATTCTATTGGATTCCCATAACACAATCGATCATTAGGAAAATTGACTAGTCAACTGTTTGAAAAACACTTGCTGTCGGCTTCGAAGACAATTTGACGGCCAAATAATTGAACATAGTGTAATATGTAGCGTTTGTCTTTTTGAATCTAAAAAGTAATTCATTCCAACAATTTTCTTTCTATCCACAGAAATCAAGAAGGAAAATCTGAAGAAGCGTGAGTAATTGTAAATTCTGTGCAAAAAAACAGTCATTACAAGTCGGTGCATGAGACAAATCGTATTTTATCGCAAGCACACAACAAAACCGAAGTGGCAATCTCAACATGAGCCAACAAGACGTTGTCGAAAATAACCAAATGGAAGACGTCGTCCAGAACCCAAATCAAGTGGCCGCAGCAGAAGCAACTGTACCAAATAGCGAACCTCAACCGTCGGTCTTCAAATTGGACACGGATTGCTGGGACGAAGTACTCGATTGCCTGTCGTTGGAGGATGTGAACTCGTTTGGTCAAACGTGCAAGGCTTTTCAACGTGTCACCGGCGAATATTTCCAATGGAAATACGTGAGTGCTTCAGCTCGTTGCTACGAAGATGGCATTTACATCGATGCTAGAAGAATGAATGGTTTCAATGAATTTGTCCAAAAAATTTGGTTTTGGTGTGACAGACTCAATTCAGCGTTTCATTACGTTGAAACCAACTGCAAAGCCGAAATCAAGCAGTTTGGTTTTTCTGGTGTTGATCTTAGTCAGATGGAAATCAAGATAATCGAGAAACGATTGAAAAAAATCGACAGCGTGGAGCTACGGTGCTGCAAATTTGATGAAGACATTTGGCGAACGTTTTTTGAATCGTGTACGAACTTGAAGCGACTAAGATTTTGGACACACATTGGTGAATCATTTGCTTGGCCAGTTCGAAAACAGCCGACACTCGAACACTTGGAATTGTGTACGAAAGACTCATTGGATAGCGAGAAATTGAAGAATTTTCTCGACCATTGCCCAAATCTTCGAAGCCTTCAAGTCGCAGCAAATGTGTTATGGGACAGTCGAAATTTAATTTGCGATGCCAACGTTGATGACTTGGCCATTGATATGACCACAGACATCGATACCGCCATTGGTTGCTTGAATGATCTTCATGAGAAAGGCTTCTACAAACGATTGCATTTTAGATCTGAACGCAACGTTCCTTCAGCTGATCAATTACTTTCGTTGCCCGGACTTGTTACGTTGTACATTAGTCCGAAAGAAAATGAAAATCCCAATTTTCCCGTTTTGCCCAACATCAAAGAGCTTGGCATCCACAATTTTTTCGTTTATAAGCACATCACCAGTCTCATCAATCTGGAGCAGCTTTTTATCAAGCCAGTGAGCTCACACGATTTGCTGCCGTTCATTCGTCGATCAGCAAAATTAAAAGACGTTGATCTCGTTGTATTCCAAGGAAAAGTTCTCGATATCGCTGCACTGAACAAGGAACGCAAAAAGTTGGTGGGAGCACGCAAGGTGAACATTTACGTCAATGAAGATGTTTACTTGGCAACAAAATGGGCAACAACAGATACCTCGTTGGAACTGATCGAATTAAAACGTCGAACATCACGAGACATCGTTCGTCCGCACAGCTTTTGGAGAAGATTCCGACCGGTTAATTAAGATTATTGCAACATTTTATTATCATTTTCGAAAAACTAAATGGTAAATACCATCTAAGAATCTTCTTCAAACAAATTCATTAACCGCTGAACTAAAGCTTAAAAAAAATTTGCTGTCATTAGATCAACCGTAGGAAAAAATTCTCCAAATCTTTTTCTGGATCTTTCAATATCTTCATGATTTCAAAAAAAAAATGTATGGTTTTCTGAATAGATTCAAACAAACAAAAAACGTGACAAATGTGTTTCTGTCCAATACTCTTTTCAGTCAGTTTTACAGTGGGACACAGTATTACTTTTCCGCAAACTTTGTTTGTATGGAAAAGTATTGGTTTTACTAGCCAAAATTTCATGACATCTCCTTTTTCGGACCACTATAACGTCACGCCAAACTTCAAAAAGTACATATCTGTACACCAGGCAATGTAGATGGGATCAAATCCTATCGATCAAGACCTATCTCCCCCCAAAAACATGTTGTTTACTATGAAATATGTGCAAAATAGCGATGTGCGTATGGCGTCGTTCGCGTTCGCGTCCGCGTTTTTTGTTCGCCGATTATCTCAAAAAGTTGACAAGATAATTGAGATCTTAAAAGCCAAAAGTTTTGGCATGTCGAGACAAAGCTTCGGATTGATTTTGAGCCCATTCTAATTTACCAATTTCGTACCATAAGCCTCCGACCGAGGACCTGAAAAACCTTGAAAAATGACACTTTTGTACGGGAAGTACCCGAAAAAAGCATTTTTCAGGGTTTCGATCAAAGCAAACTGCCATTTTTTTGCAAAAATAATGGGAGTCTGTGAACAACCGAACACCCACTTGCCCATAAATTTGGTCCAAAATCGACATTTCTTGGAATTTTCCTCGAAAAATAGACTATTGTATGAAAAATCACACAGAAAGCCATTTTTTAGGATTTTGGTCAAAGCAAACTGATATTTTTTTGCAAAAATAATGGGAGCCTCCAAACAACCGAACACCTACTTGCCCATAAATTTGGTCCAAAACCGACATTTCTTGAAATTTTTGAAATTCTGTTCGAAAATGATATTTTCATATGGAAAATGGTCAAAATAGTTATTTTTCCAGCTCAGAAGTGCTATGAAAAGAGTTTTTATTGAAATTTTGGTTAAATACTAAGCGGGAGGTAAACCAAATTGCCGCGGAGCGGAAAAGTTTGGATTAGGTATGTAATTCGTTTTATTTTCTTTTGAATTTAGCATGGTATTTCCAGGGAAACCATTGAATTGTGGTGAGTATTCCAAATCGTAATTTTGCGAACAACAGCTTTTTTTGGAAGTTTTTCGATGAACAAATTGTACTACCTGTGGTTTAGAGGATTCCATAAAGTATAGCATCAATTCTGATTTTGTATTGTAGCCAAAACTTCTTTTGACTAAGGTGGAATTCAAATTGCTGGAAAATGTCATCAAAATTTTATCTTCAAATTCAACTGCTCATTGGCAGTACATCGAGATATATTCACTCGTTTCAAAACTGTCGACTCTTTTCCTTTGAAAATATTTTAGTCCGAATATTTTATAGAATCGCATTCACATCGTTGAAAATTGAACAATAAACTCAACTAGCAGTAAACTCAACTAAGCAGTTGAAATTTAAAAATTTATCCAATGTCTATGAACACTTTGAATCAACACCAAAAATTGTTCCCAGCACTGAAGGATTGAAGTCAAATATAGTGCTGATTATGAATATTCAAATTTTGGTATGCAAATGAGATTCACGATCAGAAACCAACTTCAAGCGATTCGACGTCAAATCTCGAATGTCATGCAACCTTTCATTTTATTGCGAAATTTCATTCTCACAGCATTGCTTGTCCAACACACAACTACGCAATCGAAAGTAAGTACTTCATTTTCCGCTTAACGTAGCATTTTTAGCGAATTTTCTTCGAAAATACACCTAAATGCGTGTTTAAACTCTCTCAAGAGCTGGGTTGGTACGTAAGAAACTCGACCATGTAAATTACATCAAAGTTACGTATATTACATCATGTAATTTACCTATGAAAAATCATGTAATTTACATGAATTTGTAAGAAACCTGTAAGAAACTCTGAAGAATGATTTTTTCATAAAGAATGCATGCAAAAAACAAAAGATTTTCAATTGGAAATGAAGAAAATTTGTATTCTATTTTATTTTTGTTCTTTCGTTATGTAAAAAATTAATTCTTTTGATGAACAAAAAGTGAATTAAATATTCATTATGTAATTATTTCATTATGTAATCAACGTTTTCAATCGTCTTCTATCAACTATTTATGGAAATATTTGCATAGTGATTCGGTAATTCTGCATTTCCATATAAATATATTTCCAAAAATAGTTGAAACTTTTTATTAAACATTTATTGTAACATTATTTAAATCAAATATAAAAGCATGCAAAAATTCATTTGGCTACACACTGTTATCAAGTATCACTGCGAAAAAACACACTCTTTATGAAAAAATAGCTGGTGGTTTCAAACTTTCCCATGAATAATATATTTATTAATTATTTAAAAGGCTAACGCTGTAGAACGAGCATGTATGTACTCTGTATACTTTGAATGCTCAAACCAAACGGGAATAGTCGGTTTTTGTCTATAACCCTGCACTTTTTGGAGCGTTTTGGAGTTTATTACATGCGTTGAGGTTTCTTACGTTATAAACGTAAGATACATGTTTCTTACGTAAATTACTTACACGTCGCTCGAAATACGAAAATTTACCAACCCAGCTCAAGAGTATTGATAAAAAGAGAATAGTGTTTAATTTCCATATCCAACCAATTTTGCATTAACTCAGTACTGAATGTTTTTCTCGGTCGTGTTATTTATTCTTTCAATGCGAATTTTTAACAAAATGTAGAATGTCGTCAACAATTTCCGAATGAGAATACGACTTTTGACAATAAAATTGAGAAGAAATTGGACGTGTTGTTCGACAATATCCTGAAATGTGGGAAAATACCATCAGTACATTACCATAGTCGACGTTAGATGTCGATTGAAGAGAATAGAAATTGTTTCATTTTTATGGCAATGTAAAGCTAATGATTTTCATGTTCCCCTGTGCTGAGTCATTCGACCTTTAACATAACCATAAATTGAGTTAGAAGTAAGCATTCAAGTTACCAAACGTCACTGTGCCAACTTGTCTAGCAGTATCGGCCAATCGGCTTACTTCGTATTATGCTTCACTACTACATATTTAGTAATGTTTCTTTTTCACAATATTCTCAATGACTCCAAACTTGCAAATGCATTCTCCTAACAAAATATTATATTTTATGATCTAGTCGGGTCGATTATTTCTTTCTCACCCATAAAGACAGAGTCATAAAACAATTTGCTGTCAAACTCTGAACGAATAGGCAAAATGTTAGGTAGAAATCATTTGGTAGAATTTGCATGTTCAGTTTTATTGTCATGAATATTACTAAGACAGTTCCAATTTGGCAATCGGACAAAAAAGGCGTTTCAACACAACTTTCAAGAAGTAAATAATTCCAAACAAATATAATATTCCTACAGATCAAGTCTTCCTCTAATAACCAATTTGACTGAAAAGTAACAAACAGAGATTGCATATTTGCTGCTGAGTAGGCCTGAGCTGAACTGAATTTGCTAACTCAGGCGCCTGAAGCGGTATTATAAGCGCACTTATGGTGCAAAATTGTTGTGAATCGCTGGAATCCACGCTATTTATCAATTATATTTGGGTGGATACCAGCGATTCACAACAATTTTGCACCGTAAGTGCGCTAAAATACCGCTTCCGGCGCCTGAGCAAATTCAGCTCAGCTCAGGCCTACTCAGCAGCGAATATGCAATCTCTGGTAACAAAAAGCATTCTCGTACGGTTATACTTGTTGAATGTGAGCGGTTTCAAACACAAAAGTTTTACCACAAATCAGATCCCATTGGATATTGCAATACAATCGTTTATTCCGAAAATTGTCGAGTTGATTGTATTGACAATCTTGTTTTGTTGCTACAATCCATCTGACCAATTCACCCTCAAACTCTATCGGCTTCGTAGACAATATGCGAGTTTGACAATCATTCTGTAATTAATTGCGTTTCTTCTACATTTGCCGCTTTCTGATCATAATGAAAAGTTCATTATTTCAACCAAATATCAACTCTTTTCTTTTCGTCAACAGATTTTGAAAGAAAAAGGCCAAAAACGTCCAATCATCCAAGCTGAAAATTACTGAAATCATAAGACGCTGAACGTGTGAAAAAATATCACCTTTTAAGCAACATACGCAAGGAAATTAAGCCTTTGACATTGAAGGTACGCATATAAAATTGATCAAAAGTAGAAATATTCTGAAACATTTGGAACATTAAAATTAAAATTGAAAATTGATACGCTGTATGTGCGATAAACAGTGGTGTAGGGACAATCGACACCACAAAAATTGACTTATTTCAAATGTTTTTGTTTTCTCGATAGATTTTGAGGAGAAAGAGGTGAGAGTTCTACTGAAGACAGATCACAATTTGTTACTTGAACACATCGAAATTGAAGTTGAAACTCCAGAATGAGCCTACAAGACGTTGTCGACAATAAGCAAATGAAAACCGTCAAGCAGAATCAAAATCAAGTGGCGGTTGCCGGTGCGATCGCACCGAATGGCGAGCCTCAACCGTCGGTCTTCAAATTGGACGCCGATTGTTGGGACGAAGTATTCGATTGTCTTTCGTTGGAGGATGTGCACTCGTTTGGTCAAACGTGCAAGGCTTTCCAACACGTCACCGGCACGTATTTTCAATGGCAATACGAGGCAACTACTTTTGGATTCGGACTCGACGGTTTCGGTTACAGGGGCAATCGAATGGTTGGTTTCAGCAAATTTGCCCGCAAAATAAACTTAGCTATACATTCCGTCGGAGAATGGCTTCCTTATGTCGACTTGAACTGCGAATCAGTTGAGCATTTGACTTTTGCCTTGGTTGATTTCAGTCAGATGGAAACCAATCTAATCGAACATCTGGGTAATATTCTAAAAAAAGTCCGAAGTCTGGAGCTACTCGGCTGTGAATGTGATCGAGATATTCTTGGACCGCTCATTGAATCGTGTGCAAAATTGGAACGAATGACATGTTACGGGACACCACCATCTGGTTGGACAAATCGCGACTACCCGACACTCCAACACATGGATTTGGCTGGAAACGGCTTCTTCGGCACCAAAAAATTCAGAGAATTTCTCGCACATTGTCCAAATATCCGAAGCCTTGCGGTTGATGCAAGAGTTTTCTGGAAAGCTCGACGTTCGATTCTAAACTTCAACGTTGAACTGGATGATTTGGCAATGGAGATGGACCCAAATGTTGATATTGACATCATTGATGTGGGTGGGCTTTTGAAAGTTCTTCATCAACGAGGCTTCTACAAGCGATTGCATTTATATTCACCCGAATTGACATCGCCCGATCAATTGACTGCTTTGCCCGGACTCGTTACATTGTACACTGAAAGCGAAGAAATCACCGAAATTCCTGTTTTGCCCAACATCAAAGAGTTTGGTATCGTTGACGGCGATGCACCAGATATCGACACAAATGCATTGGCCATTAAATTTTTGAATCTTCAGCATCTTTTCATCACCAAACCGAGTTTCACTGAAATCTTGCCGTTCATTGGTCGATCGAAAAAATTAGAAGACATTGAAATCGCTGAATACCAAGGAACAGTTCTCGATATCGCTGCACTGAACAAGGAACGCAAAAAATTGGCGGGAGCACGTAAGGTGATCATTTACGTCGGAGAAGATGTTTATTTGGCAACGAAATGGGCAACAACAGAAACATCGTTAGAATTGATTGAACTAAAACGAAAGCAATCGCGTAAAATGATACGCCCGCATAGCTTCTGGACAGATTTCCGAACCTTCGATTGTTGACACAACAATATTAACGATTGGTGTGAACAACTTTGAAATTGAATTTTCGAATCGAAATTAAGTAAATTCAAGTTTTTCGAAAATTCATCAAAATCCTTTCAAAACTAACGAAAATCGCAAAACACTGCTGTAATTTAGATCAATTCTAGTTCGGTATTAACTCCATTTTCTTCCAGCATTCAATTTTCTATACGAAATATTCGATTTTTCAAACACGTGTTAGACACAGTTAACAGTTTTATCAAACAGATTAAGCATTTTCCAAATCCCTTACTATCTTAAAATTAAAGACAAAAACTGTACACTGTACAGTTTATAGTGAACCGATGAAAAAAAGCCAATAAACATTTAAAGTCTAGCAAATTGTATTCTTATTCAATATTTTCTTTCGAATTTAGCGGCGACAATATTCAAACGGAAGTTGACATCATATGGACTTTATAGCTTCCATCACTTAAAAAACCAATCCGATCATTTTCAAACAATACAAAGTAAAATTGTGCATTGTTTCACGGCCACATAAAAACCAAGCTTATCTTTCTAATCATAAAACCACTCTCGCTACTTTTCCGCATACGTCATTGCCTATCCAATTTTTTACAATAATTTTTAAAGGGAAATCGTCGTTTGGTGAAATAGATCTTCGATCACAGCCGCTATTCACGCGAATAGCTCGTTAGCATGTATTAAGTGCTGATGAAAAGCAAATTCACCATCACTATTCAGTATACAATGTTAGGTTCATCATAAAAGTATTGCCTACTTGAAATTATTTCGTATTTAATTGATGAGTCTTTTTAATCATCTGCGGATCGGACAAAATCAACTCAGAATCAAACTGATAAAAAAGTAGAAAAAATGGCACGCGTCATGTAAGCAAAGCGAATTGTTCATATAAATTGAGTTTGTCTCTACAGAGTCAATCAGTTCCTATTTAGGTTTGGTTGTGCATTGCAGAATCTGCTTCAAGTATTTTTCTATTGATCAATTCGTTGAAAAATGAAATTGTTCATCGTTGCTGTATTTGTGATCGCTTGTGGAACTGTCGTTCTTTGTGATACCTCTGCTGGGACTGGACAAGGTAAATAAATTCTTTTAAAGTGCAGATTTGAGTTTCCACATACATATTTCAATTGCTATTTAAATGCCCACACTCTGTACCAAGAAGTAAAATTTTCAACTGAATAAATTCTCTCTACAGTTGGAAACTCAGCTTCTAATTTACATAATTTGCGAACTTTCCTCTTCAATTTGGGTATATTCGTGGCGACGGGAGACGTCACAAGGGTTATCCCAATACTGAAGAGCGGCCAGGCTCTATTATCGGAACTGATGCAGAAAATCAACAGCGGAGAAATGGGTGAGAGTCTCACGAAAATGCACACCGACATCACTCAATTAATAGAAAAGTTATCGTCGGACAAAGGCAGCCTGGATGATGTTCGAGCATTCATAAATAATGCAAAAGACAAATTGAAGCAACGTTTCGCCAACCGAATGAAGGGAATCTCCCAGTAGAAGAAAAATGAATCAATCAAAGAAATCTTTTAAAACAATTCATTTGAAAAATAATAAAATGTTTCTGCAATACTTTGAATTCTGTTTTTGTTGTTGATTTTCCACAATAAGTTGATGATTTAGGTCATTAGAGATCTGCAATATAAATAAAAAACGGCGTATGCAATGGAATAGATGAAGATCAAATTTGATTATTGAATGTGCAAATTTCATTGAAATCAACAAAATTTATTCAATTTTCAAGCCAAAGACGATTAGTAACGAAAATACATTCAAATTTTGGCACGAAAATGAAAATCCAGATTCGAAACCAACTTCAAGCCATTTAACATCAAACACCAAATGTCAACGAATCGTCATTCTGTTGCGCAGTTTCATTCTCAAAACGTCGCTGTTTGTTTAGCACACAATCATCTGAGGGTGAGTACAATATTTTTCGCTTTTTCTGAATTTTTTTTTTGGTGAATGTTCTACGAAAATATATCGAAATGCATTTTTAAAGTCACTCTAAAGTATTGATAAGCAGACAACACCGTTCATTTCCCAAATTAAACCAATTTTCCATCCGTTCAGTGCTGAATATTCCTCTCGTTAGTTTATTCTTCCGATGTAATTTCATAATAAAATGTACACGTACACAGTGTTGTCAACAAATTCCGAGTGGGGATGCGGCTTCTGGCAATAAAATTGAGAAGGAATTGAACATGTTGATTGTTGATATCTAAAAATGTGGAAAAAATACCGTCAGAACATTATCATAGTTGGTGTGAGTGGTCAATTGAATCGAATGGGAATCATGCCATTTGCATAGCGATACAAATGATATTCGATTATTGACATAACCACAAATTGAGCTGAAAGTGCGCGGGCAAATTGACAAACGTCACTGTGTCAACTTGTTGAATCTGGACTTTTTTTTAGCACAAAAGTCTCAACCAAAACAGTTTCTATTGGAATTTCATAATACAATCAATCATTCCGAAAATTGTCAGTCCAATTGTATTACCAAACACTTGTTTTTGTTGCTGGAATCCATCTAACCACCAATTTAACCTCACACTCTATCGACTTCGAACCCAATTTGATAATTGGACAATCATTCCGTAATTGTTTGTGTTTCTTCTACGTTTACTGTTTTCTGATCAAAATGAAAAGTTCATCATCTCAACCAAAAACTCAATTGTTTTCTTTTCGTCAACAGATTTCGAAAGAAAAAGGCTGGGACCATCGAATCATCCAAGTTCAAGGTAAACTGAAAGCAAAAGCCGTAGCACCTGTGACCAAATATCACTGCTTTGGCAACATACTCAAGGAAACCAAGCCGTTAGCATTGAAGGTACGTATTTGATGGATCACAAGCAGAAATATCTTCAGTAATAGGAATTTTAGAATTAAAATTGAAATTTTTTCCACTATATCGGTGATAAACAGTTTTGTAAGGAGAATAAGCACCACAAAAGTTGACTTATTTTCAATGATTGTTGTTGCCGTTTTGCTCATTAGATTTTGAGAAGAAAGAGATGAAAAGAAGCTGAATTGGAATTTGAACTTCGAGTTAGACTGAAGAAAGAAATTGTTACTCACACACATCAAATTCGACTTTTTTCATAATTCAGGGTCATAGTTATTCAAAAAAATGTGAACTTTCCCCAAAAATTTTGTATCCCCATACGTAATGTGCACAGATTTTTATCACGAAAAACGATGACGTTTTCTCGATTAAGAAAAAAGGGGGAACGTTTTCAATTTTTGGAATTTCATGAATAATAGGTTGGGCTACTGAATTTTGATTATTATCATTCACTTTTTAGAAAGAACTGTCACAAGTTTTTCGGAGATCGAAATATGTTTCAACAACATTTTATCGACTGTTTTCATTATCGAATGGATACATTTTTACTTTTATTCTTGCTGCTTAGTGCTTACACTGTCTTTGTTATTGCGAATTGTCTTAAAGAGAATTGCCACAAGGAAATGTTTGCAATTTTTTTTTGTCAAATAAATAATACAAAAATAATCTCAGAAAAAATCATGTGCTTATTTTCAAGGGCAGAAAAGAATTACGGGCTGTTAAATTTGAACGAAAATAGATAAGCTATTTATTTTGAAAAAAAAAATTCAATTTAGTCTCTAATTTTCTCTCCTATTTTCGTGTTTTTTAAATTAATTTTTGAAATTTATTCAACCGGTAAGAACGAGGACATTTTAACTAATTTCGAAAAACTCCGAGGACGCGAGGACAGCTATCAAAAACGAGGACTGTCCTCCTGAAACGAGGACGTCTGTGCACATTACCCATACGTATCGTGAAGAATTTTTTTTGGATCCACCCACCACTATTTTGAGCTTTTCGATTTTTGTTAGTTTATACACAACATATATGCATGCATCATTGCACATATCTGATCAACAATAACCGGCTTTTCTTCATTCAAAGGCATATTTCTTCAAGTAGGTATAACCTCACCATTCGGGTATAAAAAGTGAAAATGAAACTACCAACCGTTGGACAATGCTGTTGCTGCGTCAACTTGATAACTGGTGGAAAAATCATCGGTTGGCTCGGAATCGTGCATGGAATACTTTCATTGATTGGCAGTTTTGAACGCCATGAAATTTTTTTTCATGCCAGTAAGTTCATCGTTTCTTTGTCGTATATTCCAAACGAAGTTTCAATTCAAATAAATTATTCTTTTTCTTCTAGTCGCTAGTCTGGCAATTTTCGCTTGTTGGCTCTATGGCATCGAAAATGTAAGTATTTTTTTCTGAAGCAAAACGACAAAAAAATGTTCATTCTTGTTGATGAAATCGACATTTTCACACATCTGTTTAATGTTTTGTAACCTCTTTTATCAGTCTCGACCAAGCTATCTGCTCCTGAATGTGGTACTATCGTCGATTTCTCTTGTGTTTGTTTACATTGCTGATGTTATATTTTTATGCGTTGTCGTATATGCAGCGGCTTCTGAAAAGCCCATTGAGATCGAAGGCGTGCCACTGACTGGCATGGTCATCCTCATGGTCTTCATGGTCATTCTCATTTGTTTGACACGTAAGCTATTTCCTCATATCATTAATCGTTCATGAATCTTATAGATTCTATGATAATTATGAACATTGTTCAAAATCTCTCAAATTTTCAGCGCTAACTACGTACTTTTGGGTTGTCACTTACTCCGTCTACAAAGCAGTGCAAGAACTTTCTCAAGAATCGCCATACATCGTCTATCCGGGTTCTGGAGGTGTCTCTCAGGATGCATTTAAAAATTCAGCTTGATTCGCTACTGACCGATTTCATCATTTCGGATTTTATCATCCACATTAATCAATCTTTTCACAACTATCATGCCTACCGGAGAAATGGAGAATCGTATATGTTGAATTTTTCGAAAATATTTCAACAATTCATTATATGTTACAATCGCCACTTCTTAATATTTCACGTTAATTAAACGAGCCAATGACGAAAGCTGAAGGATATGGGACTTCGGTCAAATCATTTGTCGAAACACCCCATTTAATTTGTGCAGAGGTCACATATCCTGTTTAGCTTACGCAAATTACAAATGAAAAATGCAATTACTCGCTTCTCGATCAAACGCACGCTAATGACAGTCATTAAAAAATTGTTAGAAAATTGAATATTTGAAATGTTAAAAACTTCATTTTTCATTGTAATTTGAACGTCTTGTTTGGAGAACGCTACTTCCACGAAAAAAAAATCTGTGCAAATGATTTGATTACGCGAATACATGACTTACTACTTGAAAACACTTGGCCATAGAATTCAGAAGAAAAATTACGAATAAGGAAACACGTTTTATACCGCTCTCACAAAGAATTAGAAGTAATGTAATTAGTTAATTAGAAATCATTCAGTAGAATTTGAATGTTCAGTTCCACCATCATCAATATTATTAAGACAGTTCCAATTTAGCACTCGGTCAGAAATGGCTTTCCAACACAGCTCCCAACAAGCAAATAGTTCTAAATAAATATAGTATTTCAACAGATCAAGTCTTTTTCCTCTTAAACATCAATTGGGATTGAGACTAAAAAGTAACAAACAGCAATCTCGCGCTGTTATACTTGTTGAATTTGAGCTGTTCCAAGCACACAAATTTTGAAAGAAAAAGGCTGGAAAAGTCTAATCATCCAAGTTCAAGATTACTAGAGGCAAAATACGTAGCACCTGTGACAAAATACCACTGTTTTAGCAAAACACGCAAGGAAATTGAGCCGTTGGCATTGAAGGTATGCAGAAATAATCTGAAACAATTGGAACATTAAAATTAAAAATCGAAAATTGTTACACTGTCTTCACGATAAACAGTTGTGTAAGGAGAGTTGACGCCATTGAAAAAATGTCCAGATGCGGAGAACTGGGTGAAAGTCTCACGAAAATGCACACGACATCACTCAATTAATAGAAAAGTTATCGTCGGGCAAAGGCAGCCTGGATGATGTTCGAACATTCATAAATAATGCAAAAGACAAATTGAAGCAACGTTTCACAAACCGAATCAAGGGAATCTCGCAGTAGACGAAAAATAAATCCATCGAAAGAAAATCATTCAAAACACTTTATTCGAATAATAATAAAATGTTTCTACAATACTTTGAGTTTTGTTGTTATTGTTGATTCTTATGTGAAAAAGTAGATGTTTTGAGTTATTAGATCTCTGCAACATAAATGAAAAAATTGGCGTATGCAATGGAATAGATAAAGACTAAAATTTGATGTGTAAATTCCAAAAAGGATCTTACATTGGAAACCACTTAATCTGTTCAATTTTGAAGCTACAAACAATAGGTAACAAAAATACATTCAAATCTTGGCATGAAAATGAAAATCCAGATCCGAAACCAACTTCAAGCCATTTAACATCAAATCCCAAATGTCAACGAATCGTCATTCTGTTGCACAGTTTCATTCTCAAAGCGTCACTATTTGCTTAGCAAACAATCATCTGAGGGTGAGTACACTATATTTCGCTTTTTCTGAATTTTTTTTGGTGAATGTTCTACAAAAATACATCGAAATGCATTTGTAAAGTCACTTGAAAGTAATGGCAGAAAGAGGACACCGTTCATTTCCCAAATTAAGACAAATTTTCCATCCGTTCAAAACTGAGTGTTCTCGGTAGTGTTTCTCTTCCAATGTAATTTCATAATAAAATGTACACTGTACAGTGTTGTCAACAAGTTCCGAATGAGGATGCCACTATTGGCAATAAAATTGAGAGGGAATTGAATATATGTTGATTGTTGTTATCTAAAAATGTGGAAGTAAAATACCACCAGTGCATTATCATAGTTGGTGTGAATGGTCAATTGAATCGAATAGGAATCATGACATTTTCAGGGTGACAAACGTCACTGTGTCAACTTGTTAAATGTGTTTCAAGCCCGAAAGTCTTCCTACGAATCAGTTTCTGTTGGATTTTTACAATACAATTTTCATGTCAATTGTTTTAAGTTTTGCTGGAGTCTATCTGACCAATTGAATCGAATTCACCATCTCACTCTATCGGCTTCGAAGACATATCGATAGCTAAACAATTAAACATAGTGTAATCTGTTGAGTTTGTCTTTTTAATTCTAATAAGTAAGAAAATTGACTCACAGGACACAGAAAAATAAAATAATTTCATTTTCTTTCTGTTCCACAGAATTCAAGAAGGGACATCTTGAGTAGCGTTAATACCTGAAAATTGTACGCAAAAAACAGCCAAACAAGTCAGTGGATGAATCTCAAAATGAGCCAAAAAGAAGTTGATGACAACAACCAAATGGAAGCCGTCGAGCAGAATGAAAATCAAGTGGCCGCAGCAGAAGCAATTGCATCGAATGGCGAGCTTCAACCGTCGGTCTTCAAATTGGACACGGATTGCTGGGACGAAGTACTCGATTGCCTGTCGTTGGAGGATGTGCACTCGTTTGGTCAAACGTGCAAGGCTTTTCAACGTGTCAACGGCGAATATTTCCAATGGAAATACGTGAGTGCTTCAGCTCGTTGCTACAAAGATGGCATTCACATCGATGGCAGAAAGATGAATGGTTTCAACGAGTTTGTCCAGAAAATTTGGTTTTATCGTGACACTCTCAATTCAGCGATTGATTACATTGCAACCAACTGCAAAGCCGAAATCAAGCAGCTCGGTTTTTTCTATACTGATCTCAATCAGATGGACATCAAAACAATCGAAAAATGTTTGTTGCAGATTCGATGAAGACATTTGGCGAATGCTTTTCGAATCGTGTACGAACTTGAAGCGACTAAGATTATCGACCCACATTGGTGAATCATTTGCTTGGCCAGTTCGAAAACATCCAACACTCGAACACTTGGAATTGCGTACGAAAGACTCATTCGAAAGCGAGAAATTGAAGAATTTTCTCGACCATTGCCCAAATCTTCGAAGCCTTCAAATCGATGTAAATGTGCTATGGGATAGTCGAGATTTGATCTGCGATGCCAACATTGATGACTTGGCCATTGATATGAACAAAGACATCGATATCACCATTGGTTACTTGAATGATCTTCATGAGAAAGGCTTCTTCAAAAGATTGCATTTAAGATCGAAAGACGACGTGCCTTCAGCTGATCAATTACTTTCGTTGCCCGGACTCGTTACGCTGTACATTAAACCGAACGAAAATGAAAATCCGGAATTTCCCGTTTTGCCCAACGTTAAAGAGCTTGGTATTCTCAATCGCGTTGGCACACACATCAACATGGATGCCATGGCCACCAGTCTCATCAATCTGGAGCAGCTTTTCATCACCGGCTCAGACGATTTGATGCCGTTCATTCGTCGATCAGCAAAATTAAGAGACGTTGAAATCGCTGATTGGAAAGAAAAAGTTCTCGATATCGCTGCACTGAACAAGGAACGCAAAAAGATGAAAGATGCGCGCAAGGTGACCATTTACGTCAATGAACGTGTTTATTTGGCAACAAAATGGGCAACAACAGATACCTCGTTGGAACTGATCGAATTAAAACGTCAAACATCACGAGACATCGTTCGTCCGCACAGCTTCTGGAGAAGTTTCTGATAGTTTAATTAAGATTATTTCAACCTTTTTTTAATTTTCCGAAAAACTAAATGGTAAATACCCAAGCGCGACTCCACAGTTAGCTTCTAAATGTGACACCGTAGTAAGTGTGGGCATACGTTTTGCGAATAAGCGACAAAGAGAATGGAAACAAGTGCGCGTGTGGTAGTGAGTAGCCTGATGCGATGCTTCTCAATGTGGCGACTAATACACGCGCACTTGTTTCCATTCTCTTTGTCCCTTATTCGCAAAACGTATGCCTACACTTACTACGGTGTCACATTAAGAAGCTAAGTGTGAAGTCGCGCTTGGGTACCATCAAAAAGCTTTTTCTCAAACAAATTCATAAACCACTGAACTAAAGCTTTAAAAAAAACCGCTGTCATTTAGATTAATCGTAGGAAGAAATCGTCTGAATATTTTCCGAATCTTCCAAAATCTTCATGATTTCACGAAAAGAGCAAATAAACATGGAAAAGTCCATCAAAATGTTTTTTTTTTTTCAATATGTCTTCTTGGTCAGTTTTACAGTAAATGCCATGTATTTTCTCCTGGATTTGAGCGAGGTGATTCCACGGACATCAATGAATCGTGGTGAGTATTCCAAATCATAATTTTCCGAACAACAGCTATTTCTTTGAAAGAATCTTCGATGCAGCAAATTACTTTGATTTAGAGAATTTTATTTTTATTTATTGTAATATGTGTACAGCGGTATTTATTGTTCAATGAGATCTTTATTAAGTGTGTTCGGTTTTGCTGCTAGCGACTGAATGCCGCACGACTATACAATGTCACGTTATGTCAGTTCGTGTGTCGTTCTACACTGTGAACGACACACAGCTACTATGGAATACTGAAAGGACTATTAAGGCAACTCTATACTTATACTAAGGCTATTACAGCTCGACTGGTTTTTTTTTTAATTGATCGTCCCGATCATAATTAATTAATTTCAATTAATGCTTATGGTTAATACAATGTGCAATGAGAAAATCGGAATGTAATACAATAACTGGAGCTTAATGAGCAATGGAACTGAATTTTCAATGACAATAAAATGCAATCGGAAATAATTGCAATTAAATCTTTAACATAATGTTCAATTGATTAAACTGATAACAATTTCAATAATAATAATGTTAACTTGATTTAATTAACCACTCTCCGGGTTTGGAATTGACCGTCTCGGTCACTTAAAATTTTATTTCTTAACGAAAGTTTCTTCGACTAGAATTCAATTTTACAATTTACCATTGTTTTACTAATTCGAAACAGCTAATCTATAGAATAAAAATCAATATAATCGTTATTTGGTTATCACGAATTGCCTTGATTGACCGAATGAGAAAAAAAAATTTAAGCAATAGTAATACGAAAATTTCTGTAACAAAAGGGGGAGCACACTTCGGTTAATTTGAATACTCAAAGCGTCACTTCTCAGAATCAGACCCACAATCCAATGCGCCCTGTCCCTCGACGTATTTGCGTATGCGTGATGCTTCAATTATACCATCATACGGAATTTGTGTTATCTGACAATTTTCTATATCTCTGACAACATATCGATCGTTCGGAAGTGCCCTATGAATCCGATAGGGTCCACGAAATTTCGGAATAAATTTCTTATTTTTACCAATCGTAGTATCCACGTTTCTAATCAGAACGTATTCACCCTCCTTGAACTGAATATGTGGTTTCCGATTTTTTATATGCCAGTCTAAATTACGCTGTTGTGATTTATCAATTTTTTTGGAAGCCTTAGCTCTCAACGTGTCTAAGTTGCGTGGAGCATCCAGAGAGCATTTCTCTTCCATATGTTCCGTCAAAACGTCAACTTCTTTTCCTCGCTGTTCAACACCATACAACAGCTTGAACGGGGTTTGCTTGGTACTCGAATGAACGGAATTGTTGATGGCAAACTCAACTTTACGGAGTAATTTATG